TTCCCTGCATCCCAAGGGAAGGAACCAACTTCCCTGCATCCCGAGGGAGGGAACCAACTTCCCTGCATCCCGAGGGAAGGAACCAACATCCCTTTATCCCGAGGGAAGGAACCAACTTCCCTGCATCCCGAGGGAAGGAACCAACATCCCTTTATCCCGAGGGAAGGAACCAACTTCCCTGCATCCCGAGGGAAGGAACCAACATCCCTTTATCCCGAGGGAAGGAACCAACTTCCCTGCATCCCGAGGGAAGGAACCAACTTCCCTGCATCCCGAGGGAGGGAACCAACAACCTGCAGCTGGAGCAGGGAGGGAAGGAGGCACCACGCACCCAACCCCCCGCATGGGGGCTGCGCCAGCTCTGCTTGGCAACCAGGAGGAAAAACCATTCCCGCATGGAAACGCAGGGCCAGCTGCCCTGTTCCGACTCGCCCCCTCCCTGAGTGTTACGAATGGAAAGCCAGGCTGAATTCGGGAGCATCCCTGGCTTTGCCAGGATGGATTTCCCGCAGCGCGCGGTGTTGATGGAGGATGCTCTCACATTCCCCGTCCTCCTCTCACCCCTTCCCTCCTCCCCATCCCGCCGCGCGGGTCCGGAGGGAGCCGGGGGGGTGACAATGACCCAAAGAGAAGCTTCTTCTCCCCGTGGGGAGGGGACAGGACGTGGCAGCCTCCAGCCCAACATGCCCAAACATGTTCTCCAGCTGCTCAGCTTGCTGGGAAGCTGCTGGTCCAGCCGGGAAGTGCAGGGATGTTTTGCCCCCCGGAGGGTCCTGCTCAGCACCCCAGCACCCACCAGCTCCAGGGGGCTCGGAGGGTGCCTGCTGCTCCCAAGGGACTGCTTTAATCTGGTCTTTGTCACTTGCTGTCACCTCCTTGTGGCCCACGGGCACAGCCTGTGGTTCCAGGCTGGGATGCCCAGGCAGTGGGTGCCAGGCTGGGGGTGCTGCATCCCCCCGAGGGTGGGGGAGAACTGACTCCCCGTGTTGTCAGCTCTTTTTGGGGACACCAGCTGGCACTGGTGGGGCAGGGACAGACCCACCCCCCAGGCATGGGGAGGGGTCTGTGCCCCCCAGCCTGGCAGTGTGACCTCGACAGAAGCTGCCCTGGGTTCAGACCTTTCCTGCCTTGGATGTGTTTTCCAGATGTGCCAGAGATCCCTCCAAACCCCCCCCATGCAGGACATGCACGGGCTTGTTCCTCCTCCCCATCACTGCCCAGGCTCCTGCAGGACTCAGGCTCCTTCCCCAAAGGCTTTTCTCCGGGTGCTGGGGGTCCAGTTGGCCCAGCAGAGCCAGGGAGAAAAACCAGCAGCACCAGCCCGGGGTCGGGCAGGGACCAGGGGGCATCACCCCGGGGGGGCTCTGAGCTGGGGACCCTTGGGGGGGAGAGGAATTCACCCCTTCCTGAACCCATTATCCCCCCTTTCCCACCGGAATCCTCTCCACTAGTCACCCAGTGGGCAGGGAAGCCTGGGTGGGATGGGGACCACCCCCCCCTTCTAGCTAAAGACCCCCTGCCTAAGGTCCCTGCGGCCCCGGGGGGAGGGGGCACCCCTGTATC